TCCAGGTTGATTGCTAGCCCATAAAGTATCAACTGGTGACAGAGAAATTTCTTATTTTAACTGTGTGTTTGTCTACCTCACTCTGATATTCCATCCTTTCTTGTTTTGTGTATTTTGAAGATCTAGTGTTAGGTATATAACTCCTCATTTTTCTTGATTAAAATGATTCCTTCATCACTATGAAATAAACTTGGTTGTTCTCTGCATTATTCTTTGCTCTGAAGTTTACATTGCCTGACATTGATATAATCATCCTAATTATTTTTGTTGTATACTATTGGACTCCTACATTTTTCTATTCATTTACTTCAAGTTACTTGTATTTATATTAAGATTTGTTCCCTAAACTCAATATTCGGTTGAATCTTACATTTTTTTTAAAAACTTGGTCATAGCCATTCATCCTTAATTGAAGTGTTTATAACATTTACTTTTAATTGTTGTTGGTGATGTTTCAGTATAATACCTTGTTACTTATGTCCAGTTTGTTCCTTCTAATCTTGTTCCCTTTTTATCGCTCTTCAGCCTGCTTCTGACTGGGGGATCTGCTTGACACTTTCTATGAAAACAGTTCTGTCTGTGTTGTGCTTTTTAACTCATTTCCCCCCCAGTGTTTTCACGGGAATAATTGTTTTTACTTTGTTTTAGGAGGTTAAATCAGTTCTGATTACTGCATTTGGATGAGAATCAGAAATCACTCATGTTCTTTCTATCCTTCCTTGAACCCTTCAAACTTTTCTTTATTCTCAGATGACGATGCCTACAGACATCTATAAGAATGCTCATAAGACCAGTCCTACTGAAACAAATGTACATAACGCCTTCTCTTTTTCTATCCTGAAAAAATAGTTTCTATAGAATCTTACAAAGAAGCAAGTGTAATGATTAGTCTGTATAGCTCATTACCATTTCTCATATAATACTTCCTCATTCTCTGGGTAGTAGCTATCCTAATAATCTACTAAAAGTGAGTTATCACTATCATTATTTAGCATATTGCTAACCATGACCAAGGAACCTTTTTTCAGATTTTTGACTTGACTTAATTTTTGATTTCTTGGTTGTAACTGACTTATATGATATTATATAGAAATGCCTGGATTAAGATTCTTTAACAAAGGAGCTAGAGAGATGGCTCAGTGCTTAAGAGCGCTGGCTGCTCTTCCAGAGGACCTGAGGTCAATTCCCAGCAATCAAATGGTGGCTCATAACCATCTATAGTGGGATCTGATACCCTCTTCTGACTTAAAGTTGTACATATTCATAAAATAAATAAATAAATCTTTAAAAAGAAGGGTCCAAGGGGTGGTGGCCCACGCCTTTAATCCCAACACTGGGGAGGCAGAGGCAGGCTGATCTCTGCCAGTTCAAGGATAGCCTGGTCTTCACAGTGAGTTCCAGGACAGACTCAAAAGCTATGCAGAGAAACGCTGTCTTGAAAAATCAACACCTAATGGATGGTGGAAATGCAGCTAGTGCTTAGTGTCCCTTCCTCTACTCACTGTTTCCAGAAAACCTCATTCAAAGCAATGTCTCAGGAGCTTCCCAGATCTGTACCTGTCACTCTAAACTCCTTCTAACCTGTTATTCCAGTGTTTCAAACATTACTAGATGTCCCAATAACAACAACAAAAATGGAATGTCCCAAGCCAACCTTTACATTTTTCTTTTACTTTAAAATGGCCTGTCATGGTTTTTCTACTTCTTTCTACAATGTTCCCCAAACATCAAGATAGAGACTTTAATCATTATGGAATTTTCTTTTTCCATCACCCAATATGACTGCCACTTTACGGTATTGATCACACGTGCTCCTAACTCATCATCACCAAATTGTGTCTTTTGGCTCATCGCTCCATACTACGGGTGTCCAACAGCTTTTCCATTCTCTAGCCCAGACTCCAGCACCTTGACCAGTAAGACAGACTTTCTCTGAATTATCTGTTTTGGATCCCAACTATCCTTGTCCCATCATCAGTCATGGCTTAGATTCCTAACCATCAAGTGAGGCATTTTTCAAACACAATGTTCACTCGGAAGCCTTCTTTGACCTTCCAAGGCTAGAAATCAAGTGTAATTCTCATGCCTATACCATCAAGTATGACATACATCACAATACCTTAGCACAGGACCTGGCATATATAAAGAGTCAAGTGTGAACCATTTTACCACTTGGAAACTTATCTTCCAAACCTTGTATAAACTTCTTGATGGCAAGGACCTCCAAAGAGGCCTCCAAAGAGGCCCTGTGCCAAGCTCAAGATAGCTGCAACTCAACAGAAGTTTGATACCCAAAACATTAGCCAACTTGCTATCTAATTCATCAGCTAGCACAAATGTTATGATTGGTTCCAGTAGAAGGAAAATTATAAATTACTTAATGATTTGATGAAAACAAATATAGGACTTGTCATAATTTACAAATAAATTACAAAATTATTTGCAGATAACTTTTACAATATAATTCAAGACTTCACTTCCAGAAACATTGCTAGATGTTGACTGACAAGTGAACAAAATGCTATTTTTTGTTGCTCTTACACTTATTTTGGAAGTTACTTTGCTTAAAAGGAATTAAAAAGCTAATGGTGTTTATATGACTTTATAGCACATTACTCAAAGGAGTTCAACTTTCGGAGACAACCGCTAAGGGTATGCTTACATCAGAATCTGAGGTCTTAGATATCACTGAGCTTCATTTGAAAACCTTACTTGGAATCCTACCTCTGTACTTATGTAAAAATGAACACACCTTATTCAGGTGATTTAAAAACAATACAAAAAAAGAAAAGAAATGATTCTTACCTATCAAAAAAGATATTATAAGTCTCACAGAGGGTAGTTTAGGTAAATATACTACGTAGGTTAAATCTATTGTCATTAGTTTATTCATTTCAACAAATGTCTACATCTGTGTACAAGCTTTGTGCCCACCTCTGCTTACACAATATCAAGTAAGATGTGCTGCCCACCCTCGGAAGCTTAGGAAGGGCTGAGGGGTGAGGCAGGCAAGCGAATGAAGCAGCTGATGGCACAGACTTCAACTAGGGGCCTGTTGGGGGTGGGAGGCGGTGAGGAGGGAGCTCCTCAGGAGCCCTGTGCAAAGTGGCTGTACACCAGCACCATGCTCACCCCCGCAAATTCACCTCTAATCAGCAGTGATGCCTCTTTCACCCACATGTACAAATGTATTCCTGTAAGACCCATTGTCTTCTGCATCTATAATTCTAAGACCTAAAAAGGTCTTGAAATCTGCACTTATTTTTCTAACTTAGTTTTCACTAAACCTGAGCTGAACTGATGTGAAGTTCCCTGATCACCAATATTTTTCCTACTTAAGAAACCCTGGTGAATGATTTCATCACCCACCCTTTAGCTGGGCCAGGGACTGAGTCAATGCTGGCCCTTCGTTCTCTTCCAAAGCCAACTGGCGAGCAAGCGCTGCCAATCCCTTCAAACCCTCTTCTAGACTTCTACACACTCTCTACGCTTCTTTATTCTGTTTGCCTCGCCTCAAGAGTGCTATCGTCATCATCCATTGCCTCTGTCTCCAGCAGCCATCATCGTCATCATCCACTGCCTCTGTCTCCAGCAGCCATCATCGTCATCACCCACTGCCTCTGTCTCCAGCAGCCATCGTCATCATCCACTGCCTCTGTCTCCAGCAGCGCTCCTCACCATTCACACCCCGGGTCAAGCCCAGCCTCCTCCTTCTCAAATGAGTCCTTGCTCATAAGACTCCAAGGCCCCAATGCCTCTTGACGACACAGAGAAAACTAAGACTTCTAAATTTGGTGTAAAACGTTTTGTCAAGACTTGGTCTCTCTCTTATTATTTGTCACCTGGGATCCTCATCCACCTATGATAGCCAAAATGTCTTCAGATACTGCCAGTGCTCATACACTCTGCAGGGTGCAAAATAGCTCTGATTTAAACAAACAAACAAACAAAAAGAAAGAAAGAAAACAAGAACAACAAAAAAAAAAAAAAAAACCACTCTATTTGGAGCTAAAAGACGGTTTAGCAGTTAAGAGTACTGACTGCTCTTCCAGAGGACCTGGGTTAGATTCCCAGAATCCACAGGACTGCTAGCAAACATCTCTAACTCCAGTTCCAGGAGACCAGATGCCCTCTTCTGGCCTAGATATACATGCAGGCAAAACATGGCACATAAAATAAAAATAAAGAAATCTCAAAAGAATTTGTTTTCAAGTCAGAAAACATAGTAAGAAAGCAAAGATCAATGGTCCCCCAGACTGCCTACGCTTCGGGTGACAAATCGTGGCATGAGGCTGTGCATCACTAGCACAGCTGAGGGAGCCCCGAAACAGCCAGCCGCAGGGACCCTGCAAGGGAAGACAGCACTCAGTGGCACTCAGGAGAATCCAATGTGTCACAGGACAAGAACGCCCCAGGCTCCAGGGTTAGTTTGCATTCGCAAGTTTGTGAACTTGATTTCTTCTGTGTCACTGAAAAGGACAGAACAAGCTATACAGGATATAGCTACTTCGTGATTTTATATGTGTGTGTGTGTGTGTGTGTGTGTGTGTGTATGTATGTATACATATAATATATATGTATATATGTATGTGTGTATGTATACATATAATATGTGTATATATATATGTGTGTGTGTATATGTATACATATAATATATATGTATATATGTATGTGTGTATGTATACATATAATATATGTATATATATGTGTGTGTATGTATACATATAACATATATGTATATATGTGTGTGTATGCATATAATATATATATGTGTGTATATATGTATACATATAATATGTGTGTGTGTGTGTGTGTGTGTGTGTGTGTGTGTATATATATATTTTCCCAGAGAAAGAGACAAGAGTGTTTCAAGTTGAGAGAAGCACGCTACCGAAGAGCTGTGCTGCAATCCGAGTGAGGCGGTAGAGGCTGCAGTAGGTGTATAGGATACTGGCAAGCCTGGCAGGCAGGAGGAAACAGACGCTCCACACAGCACCCACCTGTGGTTGACACGACATTGTCCGGGCTTTCGCAGCAGAGCTTGGACAACAGACTGCTCTTCCCAGAGCCCGTGAGACCTATGCAAACCACATCATATTCAGGGCGGGCGGGCGGTGGTCCCTTGCAGCAAAGTGCTCGAAAACACTGTCGAGAGAGAGAGAGAGAGGAGGAGGAGGCAAACCTTAGTGATATTTAAAACAACAATACAGACAGGAAGGTGCAACTAAGTACCCCATCAGTTCTCAGCAGGAGTACAGTATCTTCAGGTGGAGGCATCCGGGCCACAGCGCTTTGGCAAGGCAATCAGTACTCCTGACAGCAGCCATGAGACTGCCCACACTGCCGCCCTGGCGGCTACGGAGGGAGCGCTGGGCACGGGGTTCTAACAGCGTCCCCTAGAGCCACCACGAGGAAACCGCATAAAGCATCATCGTGTACCACGTGTACCTCACCCGGTATGTTTTCTAAAACACGACTGTCTGAAAAGTCAGGGGCTGAGGCGCTGCTTCTGGCAAGAATCAGAAGACATAGTATGAACTGCAGCGCATCTTAGATTAGATCCTGAACTGGGAGGAAGTGCCGTAGATGACATTATTGGGACAGTAGTGAGGACTGAATATAGACTGCAGATTAGATAACAGCGTCGCACAAGGTTACATTCCCTGAATTGAATAGCTGCTGTCATTATGTAAGGGAGCGTCGCCGTTCTGCGCAAGCACGCGCCTCAGTACTTGGAGGTGAAGGGCCTGAAATCTGCAACTAACTGGCTCAGAGACAGTCTGAGTCTGTTACTCCCTCCACCCCCATCTGCTGGGGAGTGTGACGGAGCAAGCGTGCAAAAACACTAACTGGTGAAGCTGCCTCAAGAGCCCTAGGACTCTGCTCCGGCTCTGCAACTTCTAATTTGGGTCAGAGGCTGCTGGGCATTGAACTCAGGGCCTCGCAGACGCTGAGTTAACGATCTTCCCCCGAGCTCTTAGTCTTACTGTTCTGATGTCCGTCACAAGAAAAGTGACCTTACATCACCAAAGAACCCATGTTACAGCTCTGCCTTCCGCCGCCTTCACTCACCCGTGCCCAGGGTAAGTGACCTCGGAGTCCTGTGAACTGCAACACAGTTTCTGAACAATACGTCTGAACCCATTGAGGAAAAGACCTATGAAAACCTTGTGTTGATTCCTCTCACTCAGATAAAATCTGAGTCCAACTTGGCTTTCATGATCTCCGTCATCTCTAACGTCTGAACCGGTCTAGTCCACATGACCTCTGAAACAGCTCCGAAGTCTCCTGGCTTCTCTCGGCTTAGGCTGTGGTCACCTGGACACCATCATCCTGCTACTGTTTCCAGGAATATTTATCCTCACCCTCTGTTCTCCACAGACTGCTAATAAAAACAAAGCCACTCTATAGCCTTAATCCTCCTCGGCGACGTCCCCGACCCGTGGACGTAAACCCTCATCACGGTCTATAGGCATCCACACAAGTTCCAGCCAACACTGCCAGCCTTGTGTCCACGGCCGCTTCCAAGCCTGGCTGAGCATCTGCCACTTGAGGCATCCCCTACCCTGTCCCCTACCGCTGGCTTCCCAGACTCATCAGCTCTCTGGTTCCAGCTTAACCACCGTTTCCTCAGAACGGCCGCCTCTGATCTCAGACTGCTCTCACAGCATGTTTGCGAATTCATCGTACAGACAATTACGGTTTCTTATTCACCACCAGACTGTGGGAACCACGTGTGTCCAATTTTGTCTCATATCCCCAGTGCCTGGCAGTGGGCGGGGCAAAGAAGCCACCCTCAATAAATCAGTGTTGGGTGGGGAATGAATGACATTTAAGTTTCACCTAAAAAAGGAGAAAAGAAAGCACAAAGGCTAACAGGGTGTTTGATCTATGCTCGCTGGGCCGCCTGTGTTTGAGAAAGGACAGCGTCAAAATTAGAGAAACCCTTGACTTTCACACTTCAATGCCAGAAGTTACTCAAGGTCCCAAAGGCCAGTTTGGATACTAAAGATTCTTTCTACCCCAAGTCCATTTCCTCCAGCCTCTTTTCAGAGGTTATCTATCTATCTAGCTATTTATTTTTGCTTACTTCTGGTAAACAGTTTTATGATCCATACTCTACATGGGTTTATTAAACTCTAATCACATTTCCTCCATTCTTCTCGCGTCTGAGGAGTCCTAATTACTCCAGTCTGCCTTGCTATGGTCACCCCCTCCCACCCTGTCGCCTTAGTCTCTTCCTTAGCCTGACTTTCGTCCCGTTATGCCTTTTCCTACAAGATTAACGACCACAACAGTAAACAGCCATCTACGCGCCAACACATCACTTTCTGGACCCGTCTGTGTTCACGAAGAAACGAGGCCCTTAGACCTCTGATGAGTCTTTCCTAAAGACAGACCTCCGCGTGAGCATATATATTTCCTTGAAGGTGGCCCCTGGGTAGCAGCAGCTGTTTATATTAAAAGGGGTCTTCTATGTTCAGCTGTGACAGACTGCTTGGTCTTTGCTTGGGGAAACCAGGAAGGGCTCCAGTTCTGCTCTGGAAACCAGCCTGTCTCCCTCAGCCCCTCTCTGTAGTTCCTCAGGGCTAACTCCTAGAGGGCAGTGCCCACTACTGGACCAAATTACCGTATTACATACAAAGTGAAACATGCGAAGCCGTACAAATTGTTCAGTGAGTATAAAGTGCCTAATGACCTCAGTTCCTTCTCTGGAACCCGCCGGGTAGAAAAGCAAAATGTGAGCGACCGTTACATAACCTTGCTTAAGTTATTCATTAATCGATATCTTTCTGCATACATTGTTCCAGAGTTGTGCAATTTCATCTTCATGCTTTCTTTAAAACCTAGAACACAGCAACCTTACATCCAAGCCCACCAATATCTGTATGACCTTTTAATTCATGTCAGGAAACCTCAGGCGCTCTGACATAGAAAGCCAATGCTCCTCTGCCTCGCATTCTCCCGAGTAGTTTCAACTCTACTCCCACGGCTCTTCTCACAGAGCCTGCAATGTCACCCAACACGACAGTGCCCTGGATGACCCTCAGCCCTGTCCCAAATCCCCAGCTACGTAGTCCCAAGTGTTCTGATGGAACCCAAACTCAATCGGAATTAAAGAAAAGCTTTAACCCTCCCCAAACTCAGCCTGGGGAAATACAGCATTCTAGGAAGGAAAGGCTGGACTGGCAGTTCTCACAAGAAATATTTAAAACAAATCCCGGAGCCCTAGGAATACATATGTATTGAAAATAAATGCCATGGTTAACAGAGAAAGTGTTATATTTTGAGCCAACAAAACAGAACTTTTAAGTATATGCCATTTCAAATCCGGGAGGAATGTTCATGCTTTTTAAGTCAGCTCCCAAAACTGCACAGAGTTGTCATTTGTTTCTTGTTTTAAAAACCTAATGAAGCTTTGCATCTTATAGTCAATTTACTTAAAATTACTCACTCTGGCCTCTAGACTATACTGTACCAAAGTTCATTGTGCTTGTCTCCTACAGCAGCTCTGGCATTGTTAGGGGTAAGCCCCTTTCACTGCTCTACAATGCGAGACACAATGCTGTCGGCGGTCCTGAGAGCTAGCTGCAAACGCGGGCTGCATTCCCAGGCCAAACACTGAGGCATTGTGTGACTCTGCTCAGGCCCCATAAACCTATCCACGCTTCAGCTTCCCCGTGATTAACCGGTAACATTTAACACTATCTGCAGCTTCCTTTCTTCAGGAGGATGTTAGGAGGCAGGAGTTCAATGCTTTAAGCTCCCAAGAAAGGCGCCAGACGGACAAACAACTGTTCATCGTGATGCTCGTTTTCCCGAGGTATCTTGGCCGCTAGTTAGCTTCCTTGGGCAAGGAAGGGTCTGGCAGTCCAACACACAGCCCAGCCTGGAGGCCCCTTCTATAAGATCAGAGCAGCTGCCTCATATTCTCATCCCCACCCTAGCTCAACCCAAGTTCTGCACATAAAATGCAAGGCCCTGCACAGCAGTTAACAAAGAATAGAGCAGCTGGGCGGCTACCACCATCACCCACAGTCTCCCTTACCTAGACTGCTTCAGCAGGGCCAGGTATTGCTTGTTCCTTTTTAAATGGAGGAAGGAGAGACAAGGTGCTCAGGGCCTTAAGTTCTGTCCATCTCTGCTGGGGACAGTGTTAAACCCCGGGCAGATGTGGCAGTGCCATGAAGACAGCAGGTACTTGCTGAATCTCTGCATTACAAGCCAGCACCTCAAAGTACTAACCGGGCACTCAGCTATGTATGTCACCGGCCATCCTCAAAGCCACACACTAGTCCCTCAAGCAGCGTGCACACTTGGCCTTCTTACTGCTATGACCGTGTCCCCCCAGGGAACAGGCCGTCTCTGTCTGCGCGGTGAGCCGCTACTCCAAGCACTACTCAGAGGGACTTCTTCAGCCCCTCCCCCGCCCTTCCGTGGTATGTACACTGCCAGACTACAGGTAAGATGACATTTTCCAGCTCATAAAAAGCATTCACTCAGACCCAAGAACATACCCATTTTGGGTCTCATTACTGGTTCTAAAAGATTCTGGTTCTACAGGTTCTGAGGGTAGCCAGGCGTCAAAACAGCAAGAGAATTGTCCTGCCACGGCATATTTCTGGGAGAGAGGCTTGCTGGAAGGCCCCAGGCCCTGCCAGGGTTTCCTGCCATCCTGTGGCATGAAATTCCCAGCCTTGTGGGACATGGCATTTGTTTCAATCAATGCTCTGTTTTCACCATGAATACAAGATTTTATTCGGAGCACGATTCCAATTTGATTGAAGCTCTCTCTATAGTTACTGGAAATTTTTCTTCAGTCAGCTTCAGGTCTTCCCCGAGCCACACAGACAATGCCCAAGCCACACTTTCTTCCTTGTTTAAATATGAGCCATACCAGACCCCCCCCCAAAAAAATCTAATGGCTTCTATAACAGACAGACACACACACACACACACACACACACACACACAGGGCATGCGTACACACACACCACGCACACGCATGTGTGTGCGCGCATGCACACACACACACACACACACACACACACACACACACACACACACACACGGCACCCAAGAAATGCTTGTTTGATTCATGGAACAGCTTTGAGTCGATGCATCACCTTAAAAACAAGAGAAGA